GAGAGAGGGGGGAGAAAGAGAGAATGCTTCTTTAGAAATACAGGCGCAGCAATATTTCCACTCGCACTTCGATAAGGTTCATACATTTTATTGTGGCTGCCGGTATTTATTAGCGCCCGTTATATCTCCGGAACAATTGCTCTAATTTTTGTAGTCGGATACCAAGAGAATGCGTTGGCGTATAATTGCCTCAGGAAATTCGTGTTATCTCAGGAATCTTCAACTTTCTGCGTAACATTCCCTAAATAACTATACTTGGCTATTCCATTCTCGCGAATTTTCTTGCGCAAGCAGGTAATGTTAGCGATACTATATTTGCTTTCGCGTTTGCCTTCGGTGTTTCTTCCGTGTCCTGAATGCTTGATGATTACTGCGCATTTAGCTTTACGCTTATACGCGACGTTAGGGAGGGCAATAAGTCCTCACATATGTGCCCCTCTAGAATTGCTTGTTTCGTCCTAAGTTCATCCTAACTCAACGTTTTCCCTCCGTTTTATTTCACGGCGAGCCCAATTGCAGTGTTTACATCCCTTTTATCTTTAATAGCTCTCGTATAAAACGATCTGTCCGTCCGTTCGAAGAAAAGGAGACTTTGCGAGATTTAAGCGCAGGAAGTTTAGCGTGAACAAAATGCAGGAAAGAGCTCATGCACTCGCAGATGTGCACAATGCCCCGTGTCATTTCTTTGCCTTAGGAACAAACTGCGTTGTATTAACTTCCAAAACTTCCGCCGTTTCTTAGTCGTAAATCGTGCATAAAACGAGAGCGTAAAGCTCGAGTTTAATTGTTTTACAGGACGCCATATTTTTATTAAGTCAACCGACTGCGAAATTTGAAGTTTCATGAAACAGTATTACGACGTAGGCAACTTTCCAGCAATTCAGTTCCGAGTTCTAAATGAATTTTTAAGTTATAACGCGAGCATTATGCGTTTCTAGAACGAGACAGTTTGAAACATTTATTTTCATACCCGTGTCGTGACCAGAATTTGAACTTTCACAACTTTATTTAAGTAGATTAACAAGATTTCGCGGTCTTACCCGCTCACGCACGCGACAGGCAATGGTCTTTCTATAATTTAATAAAATCGGCTCGAAATCGGATTTCAAATTTAACCGTGTCAATCGCTGGAACCAGTCCATCCAGCCTGAAATCCCTTTGAATCGCCGTACACGCCGCATAATTCATGATCGACGTGCGTAGATGCGTTTGATCGTATAACAGCGCAGCTGCAATTTCACAATCCGACGAGGAGGAGGATGTCGCGTTGATCTCGTCGAACATGTCTCTTTTTTCTCAGTTCAACGAGACGTCGTATCGGCGAGCTGCTGCTCGTCAACGTCGGCAAACGGTCGGGCTCATGCCAATCATTGCCCGTCGCGGTTGATTGTCGAACGCGAAATTTCATCGGTCTCTTTCGAATACCCGCCCCGTCAGCAGGTATACGCGTTCATTCGGGCCCTCGACACGTGCCCCCCTGAATTTGCGGGCCGCGTGCGTGCCTGAAAGCTGGCCCGCAAGAATTATAATTACGAACGAGGGGCATCGCCGCGGATATTAGTGCGGCGATCGTTTCCTCTACGCCCGGTCAACGCGCTTAATCGCGTCACGTTCCCGTCCTTATCCTCTTTTCTGGTTTCGCGCGCTCGTGCCGATGCATGCATCGGACGATCTTGCGACATTAAACTACACCGTATAACGAGGAACTATAATGATCGTCCTACTATGGGCGTTGTCGACGGATACGTAGGTGCCTGAAGCAACCATCGACCGGGTAAATTGCTGGGCAAAAATTTATGCACGCGTGACACCTGAGCTATGTGCGAAATTAATAGGACGCAGTAATGTAACACGTGTGGTTTGCATCAATACGCTAATTTCGTAATATCGATCTGTATTTCATAATTTAATATCTTCTAAGCTCCTCGTATATATAATGTCTCTCAAGAGATTAATTTGTCTAATCAGTGCCCTCCAGATTCCCACTAATATTCTAATCAGAGATGAATCAATTTCAATGCTTCGTTAAGACGTTTGATGAGATTTAGCAATCTAACTGACTGAAGGTTAAATCGATTTCGAATATCTGAGAGTGTCTATCTTTGTTGTTTACGTGTAGTCTTGCAAGAGCGGTTATGTGATAGCGGTGTAAGAACTGTGCGAAGAACACGCGGCTATCCGTATTTATAGCGGAGCTTGAACACATATTTATAAAAGTCTTCCAGAATTTATAGCTATATCTTTCCGACGGATACAGCATGATCTCCCGCGAAATCAGTTGTATTAACATTAGAGCGGCTAGAGATCGGAGGTTGTTCATGAAAAATTCAGAATATTCCGCGGAACACGGAGAGAGTAAAGCCCTACTTAATATAAATGTCGCGTTTTACAAAATATAATTCTCCTCTTTTTCTTGAAGCAGTCACGTCTTTTTTATATTTTATAGTCTTCGTAACAAGATTTTGTACTCTTCAAACATGATTGTGTTATGGTTTCTTCGGCGAAACGCCTCGATGACATAAAGTCGCGTCATTATAGCGACGAGGAGATTTTCTGATGTAAAAAGAAAAAAACGAGGCACATTATATATTCCATTTAGAAAGAGCACTAAACAAAACTTGAGAAACATGGTAACGCAGACAATAATGTTACTGAAACAGCTGGCACTTTTAAAAACATAAAATGTAACCGCCTGATATGCAAAACGTAATGCAGCACATTTTTTTGATGGAGCAATTTAGTATTTGCATGGCGCAAATTGTTAATGTCATTATCTTTACAGAAAATTACGTACCATACCACGTAATTAAATACGATATCGCGTTCGCGATACGGTATTTCACTCCGCGCCGCATTTATTCATGCAGTAAAAGTTATGCATACTGATGCTCCGTTTCTAGAACGCATCCGCTGCGATGAAGTTTTTGCGACTGAATATCAAAGCAATTTAAGGGGATGCAATAGCGCGATACGTGGGTATCTAATCTGGAGGATACTAATTTCAAAAAGCAAGAGCCTTTTCGTGCAATCGATAACATATGTCCGCGAGCACCGTTCATACTCTTTCAGAGCTCATTACACGATTTTAAAAGTCCGTTACGAAATGTTGAATGCCATGGCGCACTCCCATTTATTTATTTTTTCATTTTGGCGCTATTGACGCCGTTAAACATCACGTTGCAGCAAATAAAGCCTATCCACGATCAATATCATCTGCCGCACGTATGAAGAGTCTCTCTGTTTCTTTTTTTTTTAATATTCTCTTAATAAAAAATCGATAGTTGTCATTACAGCAATGTCATTACGACAATGAAAGCCGATTTTAATTTTAGACATCGTACATACCGCGCGACGCACGATACGTTTTTTAATTAATTAGCGCGGACAATTGGGAGTTGGCGATTTATAGAGGCGTAATATATATAGTTCGGCGACTATTAAACGTCATCCGCCCCAAATCGAAGGCATTATTAAATACTTGTAACGCATGCGCTTGACTGCCGATCGTAAATTGCATAATTACCGGCTCGCGCGCGCGACTGCATTGCGCTCCGAAAATTCGCACCCCGTCACGCTCCGTCGATTTTCATTAAATAGTGTCGGCGCGCATCGCGATTTTCTCGATCGCGTGATTTTCAGCAGCCCGGTTTCGCGTGCACGCGCGCGGATACGAAGGCTTATCGTATTCATTCCCGTTAATCAAAGGTCACATTATGCGATAAAGCGACAGGATGTTGTATTACTACGCTTACGGATAATGTAAACGCGCGAAACTTACATCAGCGCGAACTCCAGTTTGATAAGTTATGAAGTATGTATATAAACAAGAAGCCATCAGGTTTGTCTGCGTTACTATCAAAATTACTGTCGAGAAATTAAAATTCCGACGGTGCATTTTCCTAATAGCAGTTTACCGCTAGTTTGAATTAAAATTCACCCAAGTTCCGGTGTTGATAACCGCGCGCGATGACGCATTAAAAAGTTCTCGACGTGCTAATGTGGCATTAACAGTCCTCGGTTTTTGCCTAAAACGTGCGGCGTTTGTTAATTGCACAAAAGTATTTTACTTGTAAAATTACATAAAGTACGAGACGCCGTTTGCGAGTAATTAAGTTAAAACAAAGTTTCCGAAATCGGGAAACGGATTGTTTCGAGAATTCGACTCTAATTTAATTTCGCGTATTAATTTTTCCTTCACTCTGCATCTTCATCCCCTTGAAAATAAAACTGGATGGTCCTAAAACTTTTGTTTCCGCATAATACGCGGGTTAAAAATTTTATCTGACTCGCGAACAGTCGTTTGTGCTCGCTTATAAGCTTTTCAACTTAATTTAATGAGGCGATTAAATTTTCCATAGATTTTCGATAAAGAGCAAATTATCGTAATGGCAATTACTGACTTTCGAAGTGGTTGTCGAAAAAAATAATGAAGGCAAACGATACTTTTTATTCCTCTGAACGACCGTTATTTTTCGCGTGACCTGCGAATGTGCCCCGCCGAGAGGCACGTAAGTAAAAAGTTTGCGCGCAAAGTATATCAGGGAGACATTTATTGCGGGTTCTTATATCTTTTATATCTTTTCGTCATTAGGGTGGAATTTTAATATTTTCATCATTAGAACACCGTCAGGGTGGATCAACGTAAAACTTATCACTGTTAAAGGCTGTCGTTTTCTCCAGCGCTGTTCTTACTGCACCATTAAATGCAGCCCTCGTGTCGATGGTACGCGAGCGAGGGCACTCGATGGGTACTCTCTCCGCGAAACGATAAAGGCTGCCAAAACTAAAGTACTCCCGTCGGCGTCGTCGCTAATGGACGCTAACTTAAGACGGCGAGGGGGGTGAGATTTTCCAGCGCGCTGCGGTTAATCTTGGTTACCGTTCTCCACTTTGCACTTTCTCCCCTTCTCCTTCTCTCCCTTCCCCTCTTCTTTCAAATCGAAAGCGCGTCCCCGCTTCGCGCCGCAAGTGCACGCACTTGAAAATAATTGAAAACTCACCGGGAATTAAACCCCAGGACCAGGGGGATGGGTTGGGGAACGCCGATCCTCGATAGTATCTCTCGCGTTCACGCGTTTATGACGTATGCGTACGTGCAGGAGTGCTCTGTGCGCGACGGAATTATAAGGGTTGGACGGTCGCAACGGGTCGCGCGCCTCCACGATACTGGCCGGCCGTCTCGCGGCACTCGCCTCGCGACGCCGGCAGCCCAGAGCGCGTACTCCAGACGCCGACCTATCGCGGCCCGTCGACCAAACTCGGGGTCCACCGCCGATGGTTCCCGTGCCGCCGATGGGCTTTTCACCATCGAAAGCCGCGAAAGTCTCTACCGGAAGCGGGAGCCGACAATATACGCAATATCGTTTGCAGGAAGCGTATCCTCCCCGAGAAAGAGGGTGCAAAGAGAAAAAGAGGGCTCTCTCTCTGGAGACGATCTCGCGTCGTCTTGAGACCAAAATGTCTCTCTCAGCGTCGCATTGGAGCGAGTAAATGTGTAAAATTTTACGCACGTGTATGGGCGTGGGATTTATAGAATTTATAAAGATTCTTATTATCTTTCCGCTTTCTCAATCGAAACATTGCCGTTAGTTTGCGTAATATGTGACATAATTCTCTATGTCATACCCGATTAATTTATCGACAGTTATCTGTCGATGTATCTTTTGGAGAAAGTTTTTAGAGAAAGTTTTTCCAATTTTGCACTTTAGGCGATATCGACTGAAGCATACTGCTACCATTGATATAGAGACAATCCGGAGCGCTGTATTTGCTCATCAAACTGCAGATTTAAATATCGAAAATTACGAATTTTCACAGAAAAATTATATTTGCTTATCGTTTTTACTATCTATTATCTACTATTTTGACCGTATATGTATACATATATTTTTTCAATCCTAATTTGACGTTTTAAATACACCGTTTATATTTCAGTAACTTTAGAAGATAGTTGATGAGAATATAAATGTAATTTTGTGATGCTATAAATATACCGGTACTTAGAACGCGCATGCAAATAAAATGGCTATCGACGTCTTCGATTTCTTTTTGTTGGCGTTCGCAATCGAAGACGATAAATTTCTAATTCGGCAGTGAAAGTGTTAACCTTTAGACTACACAACGGCCATTCGTTATACAATACTGATTTTGTAACGAGTTGTTTGATTGCTTACGACAATCCCATTTATATGCATTAAAATCATACCTATGTGACTTTTCTCCTGCTGCCTGCCACTCAATTTTACGTCGGAATTCAATCTCGAGTTTGTCGATTGAACGTGTGCGTTTTATTCGCTTTCCAACCCCTGTGGGATATATCAATCTCTCAGTCAATAATTTTTATCTACCAAAGAGTTATTTTGTATCTGTCTGTGAGCAATAAAAACTATTTTTATTGTACTTTGAGATAAATAAGATATTTCTTAACGTGCCTATTACAGAAAAATAATTGCTCACAGTTTATCATTCGAACTCAACGTTATTTAAAATATTTCCGAAATTACTTGTGTAATCGAAGTTGTATAGAAGATTTATCGAAGTCATCTGTATAGTCAAAGTTCATATACATCCTTATTTTTTAATTTATACATTAACGTTTCGAAATGCTGACAAATCGGCATTCAGGAAACCGATGTATTACCAACGTTGGCAAGTCACATTTTCCAAAAAATTGACCCGCCTGTATAGGGAGTGACATGCGAAATATCGTCTTCAAACGCTCACGTGATTGGAAAAAAATGCCGACCATAACTCAACACAGCAGTGCGAGGGAAAGGCGTGCGTTTGTGATTTATTACATGAGAAAAACACGGAGCTTTTTCTCCCTTCTTGAGGGAAATTATATTTGTGTATTTTAATACTACATACCGAGAAGGGTTGTTAACTGGATTAAATGGATTTGGAATAATTAACAACCTTTCAAATTGATGTTACAACCGTGGCATAAGGACTACTGTTCTCTGTGTGCCGACTGAAATTCAGTTGCAATAAAATTTGACGGTGAACTCCGACGGAATAAAAACGTTGCATGCGAACCGGATGGTAATTACGCGCGACACATGCGTTTCATAACGATTCATTGTTTTATGAAATAGCACAGCTTTTAATGGCTCTGCAATTCCGATGGAACGCACTCGTATAATGGAATATAGGTGTATACTGTAGTCATATAAATGCTGCGATCTATTTTGAGACTAGATTAGACGAGATTGTGTATTCATTTAACGTTAAACAAATACTCATCATATTTTCGAGTCATACCTTCGAGGAATTGTTGTAATTTTACGCAAAACTCATATATATGCCATATATATCACGCATATGAGTTTTGATAAAATAAATTGTGATAAAATTATCTATACAATTGATTCCATTTCCGTCGAATTTTGTATCGCTACCGTACCACCGTAGCGGAACGCACGTTTTTATTGATCCATTATCACATTATCTAATAGAAACAATAGAGCCGACAATGTGGCTTCTCATCGCGTTGCTATATAAGCACAATTTTACTCACCGGACATTTAATATTAACTTAAAGTTCCGAATGCGTTTTTGCATTTATTGTTGACAATACAACGTAATGAGAGAATTAATGTCTCATATCTGCATTTCCATGCATGAAATTGCTGTAGTAATTTCTAAAAATTTAAAAAAGCTCTGTCTACCATCGTTGATTCATACACAGATGACATTTCAATTCATTGCATATTCACAAGTGACGGAATAAGTTTTCCTAATAACGAATAATAACGAAAAAGCAATTTACCTCGATGAAAACATGAAATGTTCTCCGCAAGCGCCCACACTATTTAGGTCAATAAAAATATTCTAGAATATTAATATAAATTGAAAAGAAAATGAAAGAAAGAGAGGGGATAATAAATATGTCGCGTTCCACGTATATTATTTAAAATGTAGATAAAAAGTGAGTAAGCATTGCAAGAATGCGGAAATAAAACGAATATTAGTATTTGTTTCTCGTCATTCCCTCTTCTCTTTCCTGATACTATTTCACGTATTTCGCTTCTTCATGTCATATGCAACGCTGTAAATATGTATCTGTGGTATCTCTCTCTCTTTTTTTTTGTTTTAAAACGTGTAACTTAAATGACAGGTCATATGTGTGGCGAGATGGATCTCATGGTGTCGCGTATTTGCGGAATTTTTGTCGCGTTTCAACCGTACCCTCTAATTACACGGATAATTGAATTGGCGAAAAAAAGTACGGCCGGGATTATACCGGTCGACGTATGGCGAGCTCGCGATGATTGGAATATTTTCAATTACTTATGCACACAGCGCTTTCAATTGTCACTTTGACTGAATGAACGTTCAGCCAATTACAGTGCAGACGCAATATTGAAATGACACGATCACTGGCACACGCGTCAAAAAGAAAATAGAAAAACAAGTACGGTTGAAAATGCATAAACGGCCGTAAATCCCGCTATTAATATAATGACACATGTAACGACTCGCTGTCGTTTGTTATATATAAGAGAGTCATTTTACAAAATTAATAGGTTGTCGCGTTTAATGAAATAAAAGCTCTCACGTTCGAAGTTTGTTGAGTTTTTATCTGTTTGAGAAATTCATTGGCTGAATCCCGGAACATTACGATCGAGTTCCAGTAAGTTTACGTATACCGCTCTACGAGAAATAGTAATAAACGTGCACAAACACGCGCGATTCGTTCGAAACTAACTGTGTTTGCTACTTGTGTCTCGTGTGATTTATGTAAATCGAGATGTAACTAAAAACTGAGCCAAAGTCTTTCGAAAATACGATTTAATCTTGCGTAATTGATATAATATAAAGAATTATCTCGCGTAATTACGCTTGCCGGTCCCATACAACTTAATCTTTTATCGTCGCTTGCGTTCTTGCTCTTCTAATTATGTTTCTTCTCAGAGAAAAGAAATGGACTAAATTTTCTTCAATTAACAGTTATGAAAAGGAATTCTCTGAAGCGGTAGTGGAAATAAACGGCGTAACAATTACTGATGGCTAGCTCCGATCCGAACAATTATATGATCCAATCTCTTCAGCAGCTAGGAAACATCAATCGTATTCCATTCGCGGATATTTCTGAATAATTAGGAAGTGTAAAAAAAGCTTTCATACGTTTTTACCCAATTTGCAATACCTTGCTCCGTATAAAATTGCAGGGTTAAAAGAGGGGGCGAAATAACAATGCGTCGGTATATAAGTTCGTTCAAAAATACATGAAAAGCAGAGCGAAAAGTTTTTCGCAGGATTTCCTCTCGGGTCGCGCTCATTTTAATTGAATCAATTACACGCTCCATTATTTGAGGCGCCCGTGAATCGTCGTCCGTTTTCGATTCTTTGAATCCGACGCACCGAGAAAAATACTTTATCACCGTCCCTCGTAGTGTGACGTACGAACTTTCCGCAATATGGTTTTTCTTCTCTTATTTTCACCCGGGCAGGGTTATACATAGATATCAGTATTATTCCAGATTGTTCCGACGTCAGAGAGACGATGTTAACCGTGCCCCCAACTTTGCTGAGGGAGAGCCGTTATTTCGGGATGAAACGGAGCTCGTGAGGATCGCGTATTTGTCACCCATATAATATAAGTCGTGTGAAAAATATTATCCAGTAGGAAGAAAGGATACATACACATACACGTATATATAAAACTTCATTTGCAATTTATCATTTTAATATTATAGCGTTGACAAATAAAACCGGGGGCTAATAAATAACACACTCTTGTTGCGTAAAGTCTTTGTTATTAATCTGTGTCGTAGCTTCTTTCGAAAATATTTAAATTCGAGCACGTTCTACATTTATATTATCATGTATCGTGTGTCCTGTAATTTGTTTTCGAATTAACGCGAGAATAATTTCTACGTTTGTCGTACACTCAGCGCTGTGCTTGCCAATGCTGAAAATGATCAAATTTTATTTTTTCTGAAAAAAGTAATAACGAGAGAACCCGATATAAACGATAGCGATATCCGGCGAGGTCACACGTCGGCATTTGGTATCTCATAACTACTTTCACGCATACGATAAAATATTTCTCATACCAAGGCATATTGATATCGCCCAAGTATGTTCCTAATAGAGGAAACCGGCGCAGTGTCCCGTTTATTCGTGTTTTGCCATCAAATATATATATAT